CGTCTTGTGAGCCCCTATCGTCTTAGGGGTCATTTGATTTCTGAGACAGTTCAAAGTAGGCCGATCATTCCTTCTATTCTGATTACTGGGAAGTAACATCTTCTTCTGCCTTATCACGTTTCAAAGTATTATACAATTTTGATCGCACGTGACAACTTACGTTCTTTTTCTGATCACATCAAACATTCGATCACACGGCTAAATCGGACTTTGAGACTTCCTGCTACATTTTTTACACCCTGTGAGAAAAAAAAAGTGCCTTCTGTTTGGCCTGTCGTTTTTCTTTTTTCTAAAAAATGTAACAGGGGAGATTTATAATAGAAGAAAGCTTGTTCAGGTCTCATCGATATGGGCGTAGCAGAGAACATTTGGGAGACCTGATTGGCGCTACTGAATCACAAATTTGGAACCAAAATAAATTGGCAGAAACACTGGGGCGAACTGGCCACAGCAAAACCGGCCAGTAGTTGGGCAAGGAGGTGTAAATGGAACAGTACTGCGAGAAGATGCCCACATATTTCGTTGAAGAGGCTGTGGAGTTTGAGGCATAATTTCGAAGAGCACTTCACTCAACTCAGGGCTCCTCCCTTCTTTCGACTCAAGTCAAAAACTCCTTCTCCGCGGCCCAGAATCGCTTTTAACCAGTAAGCACCCTACAAGCAATGCACAGATCACAATAGAGTGGTCTCCCACCCTTCCCCCTCCACCGACTACTTTTTTCGCGTTTTCCATTCAGAATCGTAATGGAGTTCTCAACGCAGGCCAGTTGATGCCAAACTCAACACTTTTATCCTCCCAGACGAAACTGGTGCCAATTACCCTACTCTGGAGGGGTGAAGCCTTGGCAGATATCGATCCGGTCCTTGTGATGATGCGCCGTTTGGCACTATGCACATCAACTAAGTCCTGCTAATTTGTAGGTTACTTTGAACAGAAGTAACATTAGCGCGAGTATTTTGATGGACCTAAATCTGGTCTATCACTATCGGTGCTTGAGAGCAATCCAATTAACCAAACTGTAATTTTATATCTACGAAATATGAGCTGAATACGTAACTTCTGCACTCCAAAGAAGTTTCATATAAGTCTTCCCTAATGTGCAATCATAGAAACTCATTTTCATATTAACATGGCGATGTATTCTGACCTAAACGTAGAACGACAAAGTGCCAAACGCTTCGGGATGGACGCGAATAAGTGGAGGAGGGTTAACTGCATTTTTAATGGGTTTCTCAATTATCTCTATGCTCTCCGCCTCCAACATCCAACCATCTGGCAGTGTTTTCCCAATTTATTGTTTCCTGCTTCCCCTCACCACTTTCTACCATAGTCTCTGAGTTGTCCATCTTTTACGCTAAAGGGTAGGAGGGAGATCGAAGAGCGGACGAGTTGATCTGTAGGGATTTCTTGTTTAGTCCGATTTCTTGACACATTAACAAAAGTTCAAAATGACCAAACTCAAAGTACAAACAGAACTTCTCCTTATCAGGAGCATCGCTCGCCTTTGTTGACAATCTGACCATTGAAGGGAATTCGCTGGACTGCACAGCGGACCGATCTGTCTTCGCAAAAAATCACTCCCAAAGCAGCTTTGCATAAAGCAGAACAGGAAGTGTTACCCTTATTTGAATTGCCCCCCCCCCACGGGAAAAGATATAGGAATAACTATATGAGCAGTTCCCTGAGCATGACTTATCTTGAAGTCATCGAAGACAGCACAGTGGTGAGATACAGTTGAATAGCACCGTTGCTGTCTTTGCGCTCGACCCAAGACCATCGCTTTTTCCCTCGTTCCCGCCTGATCGTCGTTTGGGCGGATATGGGCGCTGTGAGCAATATCGACTGCCCGGTAACGATCAATGGTCAATGGAGAAGAGTCCATTATTTGGCATGCAAATTATTTCCATTATAAATTCTGAAGATGTTTAGATGAGCCCAAATCGTTACTGAGGCTTTATACGGAAAATAATTCGAATTACAAAAGAGGACCGTGCTGCCCATGTGGGTGTGTAGCGGTTGGATATGGAGAAAGTAGGAAAGGATTACTATGAAAAAACATCTGGTCAGGTTGGTCGTTCTAAGTACACTCTCGGAGGAAGGGCAAAGAGCAAAAATTGCTTGCTTCATTCAAAGTGTCCCAGATAAAAGCACATTACTTTCATGACCTGAAAAAGTCAGGAGGAAACATCACCCGGAAGCGCATTTCCGATGTTCACGAAGGATAAGTAGACGCTGTAGGCAATCAATGTGAGATATAAAACGGTTTTTTACCAATCTTTTAGCACATATTTTGCTGTAAGTTGTAATTCCTTACCTGAATATGCCACCCATCTTCTGAAAAGGCCTGGACCGATAGCAAACTGAAGTTTGGGATACATAGAGAAACAGCTAACTATTGAGAGAACGGTCCTTAGCTATGTAGAAGACTTCGAAGTAATAGATGATTACCAAAAAGAAGTAACCATATTGGAAGGTAAGACGTTGAACCTCAGCCAGACCCTGCACGAATGTCAAAATAAAGCGCTTTATAGAACTTCATGGAAATTCACATAATATCTTATCAAAGGCACTGAATGAGCTCTGATGAAATCACACTAATTGTCCTAATAAAATATTAATTAATAATACTATTAATACAATAAAATATGTCACATCTGAAGTTGACGAAGGCAGTCCGTCTAAGTAGTCAAGAACCTGAAAGCATGATCATTCAAGAAGTATGAGACATCGACAGACAGAGCGGATTCATTGTAAGCCTTGAGAACAGATACGAGGGAATCATGCGAAAACGGCTTTTGCACTGACTGCTATCATCGGAGGGTATACAATCTGTAAAGGTGCCGTACTTGTCTGAGCTTTGAACGAAAGCAAAGATTTGCCTCATGCTCTTGAACAAGGACGACCCACTGGACTACTCTGACAGGGACAAATGGGGACGTTACGTGACGCCCACTCGAGTAAGTCGATGAGGTGACCACTATATGTTACCCTGGGGTTGTACGGCTTCGAACTATCCCTCAAAGCAACTTAGTTCCATTTGGTACTATGTCTTACAAGACGATGTAGCTGTACATTACTCCCAGGGCTATGTTTTAAAGTAAAACAACTACTACTTCAAACTGGGACACTAGGGATTTTCCAAAGGACGTGGTAGAGCTTTTCATATTGACTGGCTAGCATGATTAAGAGTGATTATGAAAAATCGCCCTCTAGCGATTTTCCCCTTCAAAAAACTCACTTTGAGCTGTTTAACAGTCGATAATACCAGCTGGAAACGAGGTGAGTCGTTCAGCGAAAAATAACTGGCGAGCATTGTGACGTATGGCGAGCACGCCTATAAAATGACTGATCAACAATATTCATTTATTCCATAATACCATCACATCGTTCACCGTACATTTAAGAAAAGTCCAATAAACACCTTGAGATTTAGGATAAAAATGGCTCTCATGATCATGATATCGAAAAAAGTTTTGATCGGACCTCAAAATTGTATCTATGACATGGCGGACCCACATCATGCACCCTACTAGCAGGTTTGCGAACCTCGTTCACATACGCGTAAAATCAATAGGTACCGCACATGCTCATGTGGATTGACTATGTCCAAATGTCTTTTCTGCTGATAAGCACCGATATCAGTGATTTTAAAGGAGCTTGAAATTTCAGAAAAAGAGGGTTCACCTTCTCTGCCCATCCAGTGTGCCATTGTAACTTTGTGTGATTGAGCGCTTCATTTTTGCCAAACCATTCGACTCTCATGAAAGCCGAACCCGGTTCACTCATTTCCGGCATCAGAACGATTCGACATTGAAGGCCCTGCAACACTATACATCACCTTGTGCCATCAGCATACCTGCCGTGGGCTTCATGCTTTTTGTTAACCACATCGGTGACTATAATATTATATTGACAGAGGGGGACGTTCGATTCGTGCGTTCCGGGTGCGCGCGGCATATTGCGCGGCGAAATTCGCGATGATTCAAACAACTCTGGCGCCTATCATTGGGGCACAAACTTGAAGTAGAGTACTTTACTAGGGTCGGACAACCCTACTAACCTACTTTACCTCAAATTTGGGCCCCAATGATAAGCGCTGCAGTCGTCCAAATCGCACCGAATTTCGCCGCGCAAATTGCCGCCCGCACCCAGAATCGCACGAATCGACACACACCCTATCGACAGAAATAGATACATTCCAGAGCGAATGGTGGAACAAGGGACAAGTCAGCCTTTTTCAAGCGACTCACCTTAGGCAGGACTCTCTCGAAAGCGATTTGAAGGCGACTGGCAATATCGGTGGCGGCATTCGATGAAAGAAACCCAGCCCGTTCGAGGGCTTCGCGAGGGATTTCACTACGAAGCATTTCGACATCAGTCAGAGAGTACCCGGCTGAGAGGTAAAGTCCTAAACATAATAATTCATTCTGCTCTAAGTAAGACATTACTGCCCTGGAAGTAGTTAAAAGTTCTGCAAAGTTCTACAGGTACATCTAGAATTTTAAAGGACGAGGGCCATGAGAGAAATACGCAAAAAAGGTAAGAAACGTAGGGGATTAAAGACGAATAATAAAAGCAATGGGTCCCGACTTCGGACACCGCTACGATAAACGTATAAGAGGAGAACCATTTGACGGTAACTTTGAAATTGTGGCATAATCAACCTAAAGGGAACCATAAATTTACAAAGCAAATTAACATAGTCCATGCTATCTACCACAAACGCTGATCGTCAAGAGAATTTTGCAAAAGTAGGGTGCTCACTCGAGGAAAAAAGGATGTATGAACCATGACTGACAGGCATTTCCTAATCAGAACATGAACCAGAGATTTTCGAAAAGATCCTAACAAAAGGAGAAGCAAAGGCAGCTTAAAAGATTGGGATGCAAACAAATTCAAGTGAAAAAATAACAGCAGGTAGTGGGGAATGCACTCAAGGACGAACTTCTTCTGAGGGACAACAACTTAGAATAATGAATGAATTCTTTTCGCAATACCTGGATAAACTTCTGGCATCTCCTCTGGAAGATCGCAGATGAACGTTCCTGATTCACAAAAACATGCTCCACGATCACGGAGGAATAAGCGTTCTCCAAAATCTTAAAAAAATCAAGGTAAGGCAAGAAATCCAACGGAGAAGTTTACCATTTGTATTAGGTTGATGCATAATTATTGCGGATTTTTTCGCGGCTTTTTTTCTCCCGATAGAATTTGAATATTGAGTTAGGGTTTTT